GCTCTTCCGATCTAGTGGCCTTGTATCGCGAGCCTTCCCTACACAACGTCATCGAGCAGGCCCTGGCTAAGAAAGCAGAGGCTGGAGATGGCCCTGTGCACCCACGGAAGGAGGCTCCAGCCACGTAGTCCCGAGGATCGGGTGGGTGGGTGTTTCTTCCCCTCCACCCTCCACTTCTCCCCATGCGAGTCCCTCTCAACCGCCACCACCTCCAAAACACACCTCTACTTGTCCACGATTTGGTTCTCAGGATGGCTTCCCACCTGCGCATCTTCAGCCTCTGGAATTTTTGACCCAAATACGATCAGCCCAGGAAGGAGAAGATCTGTTGACCCGGGATTTTCCATTCTGGGATGAAAAGACATTGTGCATGCACGCACACACGCGGACACACACACACACACAGGGACAAACAACAAGAGTCTCCTGTTTCAAGCCATAGGACCAATACAGGGCCCAGCTCTCTGGGAGAGACACTGTGTTCCTGCAAGGGGCTGACGCCACGTTCCCAGCTGTGGCAGATCCACGGTGGGTCTCCAGCCCCTTCAACAGGTAGGGCTCCTGGCTCTGTCAGGAGTACCCTTCCTAACGAAACCCCAGATCTATTCCAGTCTTCCATGCAAACAAGGCAGTGGGTTTATGGTGCTTCACTCCCTCCGGGCTGGTAACACAACTTACAAAACCCTTAGGAAGCAGCAGAACAGAGAAGGAAAAAGATGTTCACGTTCTTTGAAAGCAACACTTTTTGCCTACTGCAGAACAATCTTCTTCCTCTTTTTTTCTTTAAAAAAAAAACCTGTACTACGTTCCGCCCCTCGGTGGTGACATTGTTCTATTTCAAACGATGGCAGAATTATATATGGTGTCATGGCTGACCTTCGAGGACACAGGAGCTAACAACTGGACGGGTGTTCCTGGCTGGGCAGGGCAGGGCAGGGCAGAGCAGCCAAAGCGAAGCTCCCGGTTCTGGTCAGCTCAGGAAGCCAAAGGTCCTTTTCTCGCTGGGGTCATTCCATCGCCAGGAGAGAAGATCACCTTCAGGATTCTCAACCGGCTGTTCTAATGGTGCAGTTTTAAAAAGTGGACTCTTTTTCTTCATCCACGGAATGCCGAAGAAAACCGCCCTTGCCAACCCTTCTGCCCTGGGCCTGCTCTGCAAATTTCAGACAGTACCCACTGAAGACCTCTGAGTGAAAAGGATTAGATTTGATGAGCTGGATCGCCGCCTTCGACGGCAGGAAAAGGCCACCTCTTGCAGCAGGGGGCCTGCTGGAGGCTGTTGCGCCCCCGCCCGCCCCCCTCCCCGCTGTGTGACACCGCTTCTGGCCACTGGATGGCAGCGCTGCGTTCACGGAGGAGCAGAGACTTCGCGTCGGCCCGTCCGCGTCCTTGAAGCAGGCCCCGGAGAGTTGCAGTACCTCATCTGGCCACTGGGTGGCAGCACTCATCCCGGCGCAGGGCTGCGGGGAACCGCGCCTCCTTCCACCCTGCGGGCGCGGGGGGCGCGGGCGGGGGAGGCTGCCCGGAGGTTCTCCACCCGCCTCCTGCCCCCGACTGCGATCTGGCCGTCTCCCCTCATCCCAGGAGCTAGAAGTTCACCTTTTCCTTTCTTTGCAGGGATTCCACTGGCAATAAATTAACGGGTGGGAAATTGTAGCCTTGGGAAGGGGCGATACTGATTCCTGCTTGTGGGATGGGGTCCCTTGGCCCTGTGGATCAGCGTGGGGGTGGGGGGTGTGAATGCGGGCTTGTCTCCTATGCCTTGTGCCTGTCTTCCAAAGACAATGTGATCAGCTTCCTCCAGACACGTCCCCACGGTCACATCCAGGCCAAAGCAAACCTGTCTTCCAGCTCTCCACTACACTACCCATCCTCCCCGGCCCTTGTACCTGGCTGCTAAGTGCTCTGCCTCTGCCCAGCCCCGGGTGTACAGAGAGGAACCCCCTCTTTCACACAATCCAGAGCAGCTGGGTTTCCTGTCCCCTCATTTGGGACCTCTCTGTCCACTGGCCAGGCTTTTGACCTTCCCCAGGACCGCATCGTCTTGACACGTCCTCAGCCCTGTTTCAAAAAGGGTCCGGTCTATTTCGGTTTTGCCTCAGAGGGAGGGAAGGGCAGGCCTTCAATAAAACCAAGGGTGGACGGTATGTTCTCCCTCCTCGAGAGGGGGGCTCAAACGAAATCCCTGCTCCCCCGTCCCAGAAGCTGGGCCTTTGCCATCCCTGCCAAAGAGGGAGCGTGGAGAAAAGATGGAGAAATGTGGGAACAGCTGCAGAGTCAAAGCTGAAATGGGCTCCAGGAGGTCTGGGCAAGATGGAGCCGCTGGGGGTCAAGGAACTCCGAGGAGTACTTCCCATTCCAGCCACGAGTTGGCAGTGGAGGGGGCACGCGAAGGGGGGGGGGAGCTGGACTCTTGGCGTGGGTTTGGCCCAGTTTTTGCACACATGAGTTTGGTCTCTCTAATTGGAGCTGACCTTTGCCATTGCTCTTCTGGTCAAGCTAGAACCAAAGCGGGTGCTGAACCCAACATTCAGCCTCTGCCAAGGGAACCTGACCTCCAGGGTCTTCCAAAAGTCAGGGGGTGGGAGCAGAAAGTGGGCCACCAAGTCCAAACAGGTCCAGCTTCTAAGGATGCCAATCCTGGAGACTCCCTCTTTTCAGTAAAAGAGAATGAGATTTATGGAGTAAATACATGTAGAAGATGGAGTATAGCTAAAGGGTGGGAGAGGAAGAAGAGGTTCGTCTTTGAAAGACCATCTTTGATGCCAGATGGCTACCCCTTTGCTCTGATGCCACCAGGACAGGCATTTACCCACTTGGATGAATGAGCAGAGAAGACAGATTTGGGGTTGGGAATGTAAATACTGTATGCACCAGTTAAAATTATTCAGCAGTGAAGTGGTTAAAGTGGCTGAGCAGGCAGGCCGAAGGAGAGAGGGAATATCATAGGACCAAACTGGTGGTGCACGGATGATGGACTCAGTCTCACAAGGAACGCTGTGCTGTAGTGTTGGACAAGGAGTGGAGAGAACCAGGTTCTGGTCCCCCCTCAGCCATGGGGGCTCCTGAGCAGCTAGTTGTTCTCTCTCAGCCCAACCCCCCTTTTAGAGCTGTGGTGGTGGTGGTGAAAAATAAGAGGAGGGAGTTTCATTTACACCCCTTGAGGTCCTGGAAGAACTTCAGGATAAAAATGCAACTATGGTAATCTAAGAAGCAGTTCCTTTGGCTGGTTGGGAAACATGAGCATTGTAGTCCAACTGTTTGAGCCCAGAGAGACCACGATAGGAGCCACTGGCTTGGGTGAGGCTGCCCTCGCCTTAAAGAGCTTCCAGCAGTCCAACCATTCAGGGATATCTGCAGGGTATGGTCAAAAAAGTCAAGATGGCAACACACATAAGAAACAGAGCCTTGATCCCACCGTCTTGACTTTTCTAACCATACCCAGTGGACACCCGATCTGAACTTTAAATCACAATTGGTGTATTATGAAGAGTTGTATAACCAGATGGAAGGGTGTCCACAATGAAGGTCAAAAAAGTCAATACAGAGGGTGGATTGGATCTGATCCTCTCTTGGCTGGGAGATCCAGGGAGTCCGGGCCTGGGGGCTCGATTGGGTGCACAAATCCCCAAAGGAGGCTGTGGCCGATCACCTCTTAGGGCTGCCAAGGAGACACCTGGGTGATTACGAGCGTTGTGACCTAGAATATTCCCATCGCCTCCCCCTGCAACCACATTCTGAATTAGACTCGGTGTTGTAAACCACTTTACAAAGGACAGACCCTGAAACTCGACATTTAGAGCATGCGTCCCACTTCCCTTAATAGGCGCCGTGACAATCGCAAAGGCAGGACCCCGTTCCTTGGAAAGTCCGTGGGGAAACTTTGATGCTGCTGCAACCCGGAATGCATAAAACGCAAGTCAGGTGCAATTCAGGAAAAAACCCCAAAAGAGTCTTCTTGCAAATGCACAACCTCAATGGCGCAAGAACCAAGGTTTGACTGGCCCGGCTGGGGAGTGCGGGGTTTCGGTTCTTTTGCTCCCCCCCCGCCCCCCCCCCCCCCCCCCCCCC